TCCAACTCTGGTGACTTCACAGTCACCAAGTCCTAACCTTTCCCTCTTCTCTAACTTTCCTCTCACAAAGGTAGTTGCTTCTGCGGCTTCAACAGGAAGCAAGATGTGGCAGAAAGAAAACGAGGTTGGCCAGACCTGAGAATCACACACTGGGCCCTCCCTCTCATTGGGAGTCAGTTTCTGCCCCAGTAAAACAGGTTCAGCCCCCTCACTGGGTGTCAGCCCCCACCTCAGGGCCTGGCCAAGGCAGTCTAAATACACTCCCTGACCCTCAGATGTCTCTCCTATCTGTCCAGCCTCCTGCCACCTACAAAAGTTGCCTTCTCAAACAGGCCTCACCACATCAGTCTGAGTACAGGTTAGGGGGAGGGTGGCAGGTAAACAAAGGGATGAAGCACCGTGTGAAGGGTCCAGGAAGGGAGTCAGTCGCGTAAGCCTGGGAGGAAGAAGAGTGAGGGAAGACTTCACCACGGAAGTGTTATGGTTGCCCATCTATGCTAATCACTCCACGTGACTGCAGGGAGGTGAGCACTAAGCAGGGCTGGAAGGATTCCTTATTCTGGGTGTCCACACCCTACCCCCTACCCTCCCAACTCCCCCAACACGGCTCCTCTAGGAACCCAGTATATGGACACCCGGGGCGGGAACTAGTCTCCAGTGCCCACTAGACCCCCGAAGAGGGCAAGGGCTGCTTCTAGTTCCCCACCGTTCCCAATCCTCGCACAGCGCTTGGGACAAAGTGACTGCTCAAGAAACATGTAATGAGAAATCACGTCTTCCCTTTCTGAGTGGGAACTGCAGGATGTAGCCCTTGTTAGCTGGTAACCATTCTCCGCTGAATATCTGCGGAGAGCAGATTCACAACTGTGTACGCAAGAAACCAAGGCCACCTTCCTCACCAGGCCCGGATCCCCTCCTACAAGCCCCCGCACGCCCAGCGGCCCCCTTCACGTGGGCGGGAGCAAAGACGCCAACACTCTCAGGAGCTCCGCCTTCAAGTCGGGGACACAGGCGCACCCCGTCGGCGGAAGGGAACGACGGCCGCCGGACCCCACCCTGAGACCGCCCGCTGGGGCCTGGCCCGCCGCACCGCAAAGAGACCCGGTTCCGGGAGCGACAGGGCCCCCAAAACGCAGCCATGGCCCGAGCCGCCCGAGGCCC